TCTGTCAGGTTTCTCCACTGTAAACTTACTTTCTTCATTTCTTAACAAATGTGAAGATGAATTTATGTTTATTAATTCTTCTCTCTTTTTCTAAGTCACTTCTAATGTAATCATAGCCAGCGAAGTTGTTCTTGAAATGTGTTAGAATGCTAAACTGGAAGAGTGAGATATTAAACTATAAATTCTATATGATCTCAATTTCCTAAAAATGATATATGCATATGTACAGAAAAAGACTGGAAGAAACAGCCCAAACTTTTATTTTTTCCTTTATACTTTTTCAGAAATGTTCTGCAGTGAACAATTCTTTTAAAATATGGGAGAAGAGGTTAAAAAAAAAAAAAGGAAGGAGGCTCTTTCTTTGGGACAGGCTCAGAAAAAAATATCAGAGTCCTCAAAGTAACTGTGACATAAATGCAGTGCTCAGAATGATAGCAGCGTTCTCAGAAACCTGGTGTCTGTTGTGAGGATGATATTCCCAGCTGGTTTTCTTTTCTTACAGAAGAATATAAATTGCCTCTTATGGAAACCAAACTATTTTTTCAAATAGGCAAACTTAATAACTGGGTATAATAGAGACTGAGAAAAGGAAGAAAGGAAGGGAGGGAGGGAGAAGAAGGAAGGAGTGGAAAGGGAACAACAAATGTAGGTTTTGGGGAGCGGGAGAATGTTTTGTCTTGCTTTATTGTTTCCCTTTAAAGTACCCAGCGCCACAAGACACCAGGTGGTATCCTTTATTCATTAATGCTATTCACTGGTTCCAGTCCCCTCAGTTTCTAATCAGTTTCCCAACATCAAAACCATGCTTTCCTAGAGCAAGTCTGAAATATTACCATCGATCAGCATAAGCATCTCTTGAACGTATTAATATTACCCCTAGAAGCTATTCATCCAAAATGGCAGCACATCCCTCCCACCTCTCCCCGGAGCCCCCTGTCTCCTCCCTCAGTGGTAGGATCCTTGTGGTCCCACCACTCTCCCCGGCCCACTGGGCCATGCTCCTCTCGGGGTATTCCCTGCCCAGGAACTGATGGATTCATTGTCACTAAAGTGACAATAACTGGCAGTTGCCCAGGAGGTGCTGTTATACTCAGTATGAAATACATACATTTTGAAAGGGAAAAGACCTGTATCCTAAAGGTATAAATCTCTGATGGGACAATGCAGCCATCATGACCCAAGAGAGCAGGGCAGATATGCCCCCACCAACCCACACACACACACACACACACATACACGCTCACAAGGGGTTTCTCCCACCCTTCGGGTCCCATCACATAGGTAGGAATTTTGTTCCAGTTACACCAAGTGAGCCCTGGGCCGAGGGACAAGCCCACCCAGAGCCTTTATGGAGGGAGCGGCATACCAGGCACAGGGACTAGAATGTCAGGCTCGGTGAAACAGACTGTACCCAGCAGGAGGAAACTGCTGATTCATACACCGCAGAAAATGAGTTCAACCAGGCTGAGGAAGGGTCCTTAGTCGTGCAGAAGAATCAAACTGCTCACTCTGGACGTTAGAAAATAAAAAGAGCAAAACTGCCTCGCTCCACAAAAGACACTGTCTGAAACGTGCTTCCTGTCACAGCCACCTGCCTTTCCAATTGGATTCTGGGTTCTGTCTCATTAAACAGAAGAGTTGATTCAGTTGGGTCCATCTAATTATTCTTATTAAAATATGTAACCATAATATTTTAATTATAAATTAAAGTTGCACGCATGAATGAATCCGAATTCATTTTAATTTTACAATGGCCCAGTGCCAAGGCCTTTTTATGGGCAAGATCCATCAGCTCGGATACTGCTCTCCTGGGAATTCAAACCAATGTGCAAATGGAACATGTTTAACTAACAAGGGAGACTCTCATTCCTTCTTCTCCTCGCTCTAGATTTATTATGGTAATAAAGCTGTTTAACAAACGAGGCTGTATTTGATTCCTCACCCCCAAATCTTAAAAAAAAAAAAATTACTTCAAGGGTGGCACTACCAGTTAGGTAGAACCAAGATGTCACACCTGGGATGTATGAATCTTGAACAAAGATGGTAAATGGGTCTCAGATCACACGCCAACCTCATGAATAATTAGTAATGTCTGCTGTGGGTACACACCCACTGCACCCTTTGTTTAGATTCCAGAACAATCCGTGATATTGCATTTGGCCCTTACATATTCGAGTAGGTGGGACCCAAATCATTTTCCGCTAAACAAGAACCAGCCACTAGGACACTGAAAGGCTCAACCGACACCTCCTCTACTTCTAACTGGCATTAACTACAGGGTGCTGCGGGGATAGGCAATGAGATAAAAATACCTTTTATAATTGAGGCTTTCAGAAGCCTCCTCTTAACTTCTAAGCCAAGGCCTGAAGCATAAGAAGAAGTTAGCCAGTCAACGCGGTGTGAAGCTGGGGAAAGAGACTATTCTAGGCAGTGGGAAAAACATCTGTGAAAGTCCAGGGGATGAGCGTGCATAGAGCATTCAAGGCTCTAAAATAAGCTCTGAAATAAGGAGTTAGAAGTGCACGGGGTAGGGGATGGGAGGCAGGAAATAAATCTGGAGGAAAAAAGCAGGTTTGGATCCTGCAGGGCCCTAGAAACCACCTGCAGGTGTTTTGACTTTGTTCTAGGAGCAATGCATTAGAAGCCAGGAGATCATTCTGGCTACATGTGGAAAATGATTGATGTGTGCTGAACATTAATATATTACGGTACATCCAGAATATAGCTGTGCTATGTTTATTTCTTGCTGACAGAGGCTAAAGTAAATTTTTGAACATTTTACCTCTTTCTACTTGCAGTATTTTTTCCTTTTCCATTGAAGGACTTTCCAGTTTAAAATTCCTTAATGTTATAATATTATTATATAATCAGTTATAAGAAAGGATCTTTTCAAAGTTAATGGCATGCTTTCTGTATGTAGTTGGCTAAAATCTGTGTCTAGTTTTTATTCATTGAAATGAATTTATAATAGAAACCAAATGATTAAGCCAACCAACCAAAAAAAAAAATGCTTCTTATAATTAGAAAAAAGCCTTTGTTGGCTTCATTGATAGGTATACCCCACTTCTACCCACCCGCACCCCAACAGAGAAACATTTAAAACGTGCCTTTGGAATAGTGCTGGTGGTGGGCATGGCCCTGCTCCCTCGGCACAGCCTGGCCGGTGGCGTCAGACCAGTGCAGAGGGGTGCTGAGGAGTACAGCTCACCCAAAGAAAGGTCTGACCTTTGCCCTCAGCTACTGGGAGGTGATCTCTGGGCCCCGGGAATGTCCTGATGGGAACACCTCTGTTTGCCTGGGGCTTTGGCCAGCGCACAGGCTAACGATGTGATTATGATGGAGACTTTGGGCCATGCTGCGTCAGTACTGATGTCCAGAGCACATGGGGACCAAAGGTATCAGCGCATCCCCAGGAAGGGTGGAGACAAAAGTCAGCCACACACACAGTACGTGACTGAACCCCAGTAAAAACTCTAAACACCCCAGGCGCAGGCAAGCTTCCCTGGTAGCACTACTGTGCACTGTCACACATCGGTGCTGGGAGGGTAACTCCATCCATGACTCCCTGGGGGCAGGATGACCAGAAGCCCCGCATCCGGGCCCTCCCTGACTTAACCCTATGCATCTGTCTCCTCCTTTGGCTGGATCTAATCTGCGTTCTGTCCCTGTAATAAATAGCATCTGGAAGTGTAACAGCTCTCGGTGAGTTCTGTGAGTTTTTCTCGTTAATTACCAAACGTGAGGGTGGTTTCGGGGGCCCCTCAAACTTACAATAGATGTTGGAAGTGAGGGCAGTCCTGTGGGGACTGTGCCCTTAGCCTTATGGTTTAGTTAACTTCATGGAGCAGGTATTTCCCGGAGCAAGCAGCTTGGTCCCAGAACTGTTTGATACAAGATAGGGAAAAAACATGCCTGGTGTTGGTATTGTGCAGGTCACCTCTGGGGGTGGAAGGTAGGGGGGCTGACTGGAAACGGGACAGGGTACCTTCTGGGGTGCTGGTCTATACTTTGATGTGAGTGGTAGTTACTCAGGTGTATACATAAGTAAAAATCCATTGAGCCACACATATAAGGACACTTTATGCATTTTCCCACACATATCATACCCCAGTTTTTAAAAGTTAAAAAACAAACAAACCAAAAACACTGCCTTTGAAAATGGGGGAGCCCAGCCAGTTATGAAAGGGTGGAAGTGGGCTGGACTCCTAAGGAGAACCTGAACCCAAACGTGGGGCTGAAAGAAAGGATGTGAGATCCTGCAAAGGCATTTCTGGGAAGATTCTCTGAAATGGATTGGTTAATGCTCTCAACTTGGGCGAGATGACCGTGTGATTTGTGTGTGTTTGCACATGTGCATGTGTGTGTGTGCGTGGAGTGTGCACACTCCCTAGGCAGGCCCACGTGCTGCTTTTCCACTTCTTCAGGCTCACCAAGTGATGATGTGCACTGCGCCACAGTAGGCCGGGTAGGACAATGGGCATTTCCAAGGGAGTGACGCTCGGAGCATGGTGGTTGTCCCACCCTCCTCCCTGTCAGAGGGAAGCTCGAGAAGCCAGGCTGCAGTCAGGAAGGGACAGCTCGCCTGAACTGTATGAAACCAAGCCCAGAGATCCAAGAGGCAATAGAGGGCAACAGTGAAACTAACGGCAGGGGGTTCCCCTGGGTTTTTACCCAAAGGTGAAAGAATTCGGGGATGAAGCAATCGAGTGGAAAACCAAGAAAGCCGAAGGCGGGAGGCGGGAGGCAGAGCCTGGGAGAATTCTGAGTCACGGGGAAAGATACTGTGTATGAGCAGCGGTGGGAGAGCAGGACACAGCTCAGTCATGGGAGCCAGGAGCTGAAGGCCACGGGTGCACGAGCGGTGGGACTGGGCACAGTCGGAGGACATCTTTGATTAGCCCTCCTCTAGGACGCCACGGCTTCATGGTTAGTGAATGAAGAGCTAACCTGTGCAAGCCAAAACACAGGGGTCATTTATGTTTGGATTTGTGATGACATACCTCTTTCTGTTGTTCCGGAAACATCTTCAGCACAGGACACGATCAATCTGAAAAATAAGATATCCACAGTAGGTGATTTGGAAGCTCCAAACAGAGTGGATATGCCTTTCACAGCCCCCTACCCAAACCCCTGTGACAGAGCCAGAGGTTCACCAGCCCCTGACAGGTGAACCTCTGTCCCTCCCTTGCTCCCAGCCACTGCTGGCGGGACCAATGTGAACGTCGTCCACGCTGGGGAGTCTGGACCACGGCGAGTCCCAGGCAGCTGGATGATGACAGGCTCTGAAACTGCCAGGCTTAGAGAGTGAGAGCAGCCCTAAGGGTGGAGGATGCCACGAGGCAGCAGGAGAGGGGGAGGAATGGAAACGACACCCACAGAGATCCACCACTAGGAGCAGCCCTAGCGGTTGTGCCAGAAACGCAAACCTTCAAGGACCAGGTCATCCTTGTGACATTTAAACTACTCCAGAGGTCAGACAAGAAATGGTGTGGCCCAAAGAGGGGGAAAGTCAGGACCTCGCTTCTGACCCTGCAGTCGGGGCAGCCAGCCTGTCGCTTGATTCCAGGCCGTGCCTGTCCCTGGGGTTGTCTACTGTTCTTTAAACCCATTTATTACATAAGCTCCTTGGAGTTAACACTTGTTCCCTCACCAAAAAAAAAAAAAATTAAAATTCCCTGTTTATACCCACACATATGTATTCTTACAACTGAAAGGTGACTATGACTACAGGTTCACTATTTGCCTGTATTTTGATATCATACGTCTGAACCCATTTTCTGGATACATATTCTCACCCACAAATATCTCCAGAGTTTCTACTAATGTCCTTGGCACTGTAGGGAACACAAGAAGCACGAACACAAGCTCCAGCCTCCAGTCCCATCTGGAGTCACTGACAAAACAACTTCATAACTAAGAGGTAGAAAGGAAACGACAGGGCACCCTGTTAGAAGAATGGAAGAACATACAACACAGATCAACCTGGAGGACGTCATGCTAAGTGAAATAAGCCAGTCGCAAGAGGATGACTACTGTATGATTCCACTTACATGAAGTACCTGGGGTAGTCAAATTCAGAGACAGAAAGAACGGTGGTTGCCAAGAGCTGGAGGGAGAGAGGGAAGGAGAGTTGTTTCATGGGTACAGCCTCTCAGTTGTGCAAGATGAAAAGCGTTCTGGAGATTGGACGCACAACAATGTGAACAGACTTAACACTACTGAAACAGTACACAGTACACAGAAGTGGTTGAGATGGTACACTTTAGGTTATGTGTGTTTTACTCTAATTTTTAAAATTTTTTAAAAAGAATGGACTAAGTGGGGGGCGGGGGGACTTTAGTGAGAAAGCGACACTTCAGCTGAGGCCTAAAAGAATAATGCGGGTTAGCCAGGAAGCCGAAAGGAGAAAGACACTCTAAGCAGAGGGCCTGGCTTGTACAAAGGGGTGGAGGCCAGGAGGAGCAGCTAAAGATCCCTGGTAATCCCGGGATCCCTGCACTGGATCCAAGATCATCGTGGCTCCCATCATCTTGAGATCTGGCATGTTCCCTACACACATCATGTGGCTCCACACAGCCAGACCTCTGCCCTCGCACCTTCACCCTTTCCAGACACCAGCAAACCCATACGCCTCTCCACTGCTGTGCAGAGAAAGCACTGCTCTCCTGCCCTGCTCTCTGCCGCATCACACAACAGTGTGTTGTGCAGTTCCTGTTAATTTTTTTTTTGAGACAGAGGCTCACTCCCTTGCCCAGGCTAGAGTGCCATGGCGTCAGCCTAGCTCACAGCAACCTCAAACTCCTGGGCTCAAGAGATCCTCCCGCCTCAGGCTTCTGAGTTTCTGGGACTACAGGTGCACACCAGGACGCCCGGCTAATTTTTCTATTTTTAGTAGAGACGAGGTCTCACTCTTGCTTAGGCTGGTCTCAAACTCCTGAGCTCAAGTGATCCTCCCGCCTCAGCCCTGTTACTATTAACCTCACTGGCATCATATGTGTATACTCTCTGTCTCTCCCATTTGACTGATTTCTCCAGCAAAGCATATCTGTGTTTCCTTGTGTAATTAAAGTTCACAACCATTCTATGAAGGAGAGTTGAGTATCCTCACTTCACAGGTAAGAAAACGGAAGGTCAAAGGGATTCAGTTGTGCGAGGTCACACAGGGAGTGAGAAAGTGAGAGAGTGCAAGTTCAGTTTCAACCCAAGCCAGTCTGCTTCCCAACACTGTCATTCCAATGCCTATGGCTGGCCCTAAGACTGTGATAGGGACAAATGCTTCAGAGTTAGGGTCATAATTCTTCCCATTTCCCATCCGGGCAGAAGGACTCTGCAGTTCTAATAGGGAGCTGATGATTGGCCACCTTAAGATGCTATAGAGCAAGTCAAACTATAAAACTGGGAAACTATGAAAAGTTTAAACCAGTTCCAAAACATCACAATGAACACCACAGTCAACCTTTAATAGTCTAAATCTGAACAGTGAAATTGGGGGGTGAGGGGAGACCAGAGACACTTTCATTTTTTAAACTCTATCCACTTCCATATTGTTTGAATTTTTCCAGTTAACACATATTAATTTTATACTTTTAAAGTAATAATTATTTAAAATAAGTTAAATACCATAATGCTATCAGAAGAAATAGTGATTCTAACAAATTGCTGAAGATTTTTATTTCATATGAAATAAACAGCAGATTCAAATATATGAAGAGATACTACCTTTATAAACAAGAGAAAGTGTCAGTTAGTACCAGACTATGCCATGGCATTTACTGGTGGAAAGAAGGAAATTAAATGATAGCACAATTGTAGGGTTTGAGGTAAAAGGTCAGTCGTCTATAATCTAGCAAACCAAAGCTGCCCATCAAAAATTATCCCCTGACAAAACTATGCCCTTTAGGTGGGTTGTACAATTGTAGATCTGTTTGGATTCCCAAATTTCCCAGATTAGCCTGTATGTCTGTCATAATAATGTACATAGAGAATTTTTGTCTCCCTGAAAGATTTTTATGCCAACAAGGGTGGATGTCTACCTCCCAGTGACTACAGCTAGGCTGTCTCTGGGTATTTTATCTCCCCTCCACCACTGAGGAACCACATCAACCTGGATGGTCACCATTCTTTTCCCTTCTCACCTTCACTGCAAGAATTATTAAATCTCACAACCATATCAAACGACAGGGATGATTCCTCAAACTTGCTTGCCATGTTACAGTTAGATACACACAGATGACAGATACATGGGTTGTCCCCTCACTGGGACACATGGCAGTTCTGAAGACTCATCCAAGAGACTCAGTGTGTCTCTGCACAACTGCAGCACTTCCTTGAGAGCATGATACACAGATCTGCCAAATCCAAGATCTTCAGCAGAAAACTGCCTCCATTTTCTACCTTGGAATATTTTTTCTATAAAATGTAAAATGTCTGTGAAGCAAAGATAAAATTCTAGAGAGCAGGAGTGAGCAAACCTTTTCTATAAAAGGCCAAATGGTAAATATTTGAGGCTTTGTGGGCCACAGGGTCTCTGCAGTACCCACTCAAGTCTGCAGTGTGGTGAGAAGGCACTCACCTAACTGAATGAACATGGCTGGTTTCTAGTAAAACTTTATCTACAAAAACTCGTGGCAGTAGCATGTAGACCCCTGCTCTAGAGCAAGCAAGTGTTGTACCTTCAATACTAAACCTTAATAAAGCCCTTTCTGAGATCAACACAAAGAAACATGCTAAGCTTGGTCAATAGTTTATGGGTACTCTCCTCTCTGCAAATAAACTACTGACAGAAAGTTTGTGGACTATATATGTGAGCACAGTGAGAAAGGATTACATATTTTTTCAATGATGAAATAAGTAATAACAAGTATGGTTTACAAAATTCTTTAAAATAAAAAATGGCAGACCACTCACTGGTGGCAGCTGTCTCTGGGCTGGTGTTGGCAGGTCTTTCTAGGAGCTCAGGAGCCCAACAGCAGTCCGAGATGCACAAGAGGGGACGTTTAACCACTACACCTACCCTTGTTGGTGGTCTCCAACTCTCTCAGGATTTAGACACTGCCAGTGTCTTTCTCCTTCCAGTTCTTCTCCGAAACTTCTTCCTGTGGAGTTTTCTGTAGTTTCAGGCACCCTTCTTCCGACCCTCATCCAATCTAAGTTTGTTTGCCTGTTTGATTTTTCACTTTCATCTAAAATCCATCTTTCTTTCAGAGACACTCTGGCTAGCAGTTTTTCATGTCCACTATCTTGAATAGCTCAGTATTTAAGAGAAAGGTCTTTGGAGAAAAATTTCTTGTGTTAAATGAAGTATTTTACTAACTAAGACAGTGTGATATTTTCACACAGATAGAGAAATAAACCAATAACAAAAAGGAAGGAGAGCTAAAGAAAAAAGATGCTTTCATGTATGCGCAAATAATTTATAAGAAATATCAATGGGGAAAATAAATTTTTCAATAAATATTCCAGAAAATTTAATAACCTTAGGGCAAAAATAAAATCTGACCTTTGACTTCACTGTGCACAGAAACTCTATTCCAGATAGATTACTGACCTTGATATAAACATTATTAAAATGTCTAAAACTTAAGATAATAAATTCGTGACTATGGCATAGAGTAAGATTTCTTAAATTAAATCTAGAAAGTATTTACCATTACTGGAAAGAAGGTATTCTAATGCAGTTTATGTGAGCAAGGACTCTGGAGATAGATAGTAAAACTCAGGTCCTTCTATTTCTTTCCTGTAGGGCTTTAGTGCAGATTCAAAACTGGACCATGGGAGTGGTAATTGTGCCTTCCTCTTAAGATGCTGTGAGGATTGAAGGAACTATTAATAATAAAATGTAAAGCAAACATATAAAAAAAAGTTCAACATCTCTAATCATTAGGGAAATGCAAATCAAAACCACAATGAGATATCGCCTAACCCCAGTGAGATTGGTCTTTTTCAAAAAGTCCTAAAACAACAAATGCTGGCGAGGATGTGGAGAGATAGGAAAACTCTTACACTGCTGGTGGGGCTGCAGATTAGCGCAACCTCTGTGGAAAAGAA